ACCTGGTGCTCGTCAAATGCACCGGGTGGGCTCGATGCGATTTGCGGAGGCTGAGCCGAAGGCCTTGCCCTGTGCTGGGCCTGCGGTTGGGACTCGGGAGTGCAGTGTGACGTTGGCGGTCCAAGAATTGCAACCCTTGAGATCCACTCGCAAGCCGAAACATGTGCAAACCAAGTGGTGTTGCTGAACTGGGCTCTTCCCCATTCAGAGATTCTCAGGAAATGAGCACGGGGAAAATGGCTGGGTAAAGGCAATGATGGGTGAAGATCATGGGGAACTTTCATAACATGATTCTTGTGCAAGACAAGTCCATGCAAAGCTGTGCCTTCAATAGATTACTCGCTTGTAGGGCACCATCAACGTCTTGCGAAAGCGTGGGCATCCAACATCTTCTGATCTGCCACTTGACGTGACCTGTAAAGAAACATGACTGCGGGACGAATGTCAAAAGGGGAGCTTGGCAAACGAAACGGGCAGGTCGACCTGCCCCAACCCACCAACAGCAAACACAATGGACACAGAATGAGCTTCCATCTAGTTGATGGGTTTGGATTGGTGGTTTGGCGGTTAGGGGGTGACTCCCCATTTGCCCTTCACAAGGACCAGGGGTTCAAATCCAAATCCAAGCCACCAATTGGGGGTTGCCTGACGGAAGGCAATCTTTTAGATCAAGGACAATTTGCGGTGCCTCAAGGCTGAGGGTCCTTTGGCGCTGAAAGGTAGCCAAGAGGACACTTGCCCAAAAGTCTGGACAATACATACATACACACACACACACATTTTTGTCCATCCAACGGTTCGCTTGAGAGGACATACACCAAGACTTGGAGGTTTTTGCATCCCGAGGGAGGCAAAGTGAAGCTTGCATGCCGATAGGACCACCACTTGAAGTCTGGGTTGTCAAACACTTCCAACCCCCCACCCCTCCTTGCGACTGCGCCACCTCGCACCTGGAGCTGCAAGGTTGATTGACATGAGACTCATCTGCTCTACTACTTCAACTTGAAGTAAGGGGTTCACAGGTGTGGACATCAGCTTTTTTAGCATCTTCCCCTGAAATGCAAACTTGCCTTGGTCTGACTTGGGGCCGGTGTGTGGCAGCATAGCTCAAGGATGAGCTCAGAATTTGTTCAGAAACTGGACAGGACTGAAGGGAAAGCGGAAAGCCTTAAGGGAAACTTGACCAGGACTGAAGAGAAGTTATTAAAACCCAAAAGAGAATCAAGACCACCTCTATGCACGAACTACCCAGCTACGCCATGTTGAGGGTTTTGTCAAGCTCTTTGCGCCCCATAAGAAACAGCAAGCCTTAGTCCACTAACAACTAGATGGGCCCCAGGGCCACATGTTACACGATCGCTCAAAAGCACACAAATGCCCTGCTGGAAGTGAGGTCGGTTTCTTGGTTGACGTTGGAAGGGGAGCAACAATTGAACTTTTAGCAATTAAGTGGGGATTTCCCACTCAACCACAATAAGCAAACATGTAAAATGTTTCCCAACAACAACCATGGTTTGTGCAGGCCAACAGTATCAGCATGGCAAGTGATGTGCCGCTTGGGCTTGTCAAGAAACCTCTGGCATCCTTCCCGGAGCCTGCCACCTTCCCAGCTCACATGAGCCTTGATCCACTACCCCTTCAGCACAGTCCGGGAAGCCTCACCAAGTCAGAAAAGAGTGCCGTAAAACTTACCAGCCTGATCTGGCTGATAAGCTGGCCAAAAGCAGTTGAAACCCTTAGGCCTTTGCAGTGAAGGCAACGGATTTAGGGTGTTTGGGCTTTGCCGCGAACCTCCAAGCCCAACCCTTAAGGTACGAACGCACACACACACACACAAATACGCAAAAAATACAGTTCCAACCAAACAAGTCGGGCATACCACCGAAGAGTTTTCCATGCTACTTGTCCATATATTTTGGGTTCGTTTGCGCAAGAAGTGAGGACACACTGAGCACGCACACACGCACACAAAGACACACGAACACACGAACACACAAACAAAGAAACAAGGAAACAAAGAAACAAGCAAACAAACAAACCAAACCAACCCACCAACCAACCAACCAAACAAACGAACAACCAAACACCCACGCAACCACACAACCACGCAACCAGACAGCCAGACAACCAGACAACCAGACAACCAGACAACCAAGCAACACACACATACAACCACACAACCGCACAACACAAGCAAACAAACACACAAAAACACACAACCACACAACCGCACAACCACACAAAGACACGACCACACAACCACACAACCACACAAACACAAACACAAACAAACACACAACCACACAACCGCACGACCACACAACCGCACAACCACACAAAGACACGACCACACAACCACACAACCACACAACCACACAACCACACAACCACACAACCACACAACCACACAACCACACAACCACACAACCACAACCACACAATCACACAACCACACAACCACACAATCACACAACTATACAATCACACCAACAAACAAACAAACAAACAAACAAACAAACAAACAAACAAACAAACAAACAAACAAACAAACAAACAAACAAACAAACAAACAAACAAACACACACACACACAAACAGCAAACAAACAAACACACAAACAAACAAATAAACAAACAAACAAACAAGCGAGCAAGCGAGCAAGCAAGCAAGCAAGCAAGTAAACAAACACAGAAACCCGCACCCGCACCCGCACCCGCACACGCGCACGCCCGCCTGTCCGCCTGCACCGGCACACACACACACACCCACACCCACAGGCATACAAACAAAGAACCACACGCACAAACACACATACACACACACAAATGCTTATGACAAGTCCTCGTAGATTTCTCTGGAGTTGCAAGCACATCGCATCTTACCTGGAAGCCACAGCAGGTTTCGCTGGATTTCTTGCGCGTTGCCAACTTTGACCTGGCTACGTTGGCCAAAACAGAGGAACCAACAGGAATTGGTCCGTGGCCTTCAGTTGTGAGCCCTTGCCCACGAAATTCACTGCACCAGCCCATGTCCAGTGCATCCAAGCTGCTGTCGGCATGCGCCGTTACCCTAAGTGACCATCCGGCCGCATGATCGAGGCAACCAGCGCAGGGTGGTGGGAATGAGGGAATTCTGCCCAGGAAGCCAGGGGACCCCACCGAGAATGAGGCTCTGGGGAGGCTTTCTAGCACAGAAGTAGGAAACTCCCCACGCAAGCGCCGATTAAAGCAGCTAAGAAACCAGAGACAGGAACAAAGACATCAGGCCCACGGCTTTTCTTGTGGGTGTTGTGTCAATCCTCAGTAGGACTCAAGAACTGTTGCAACCATTGAGGGGGAAGCTCCTTGCATAAGATCATGAAACTCCAATGTTTGGTACTTCCAAAAAGGAACATGGTCCCCTTTTGGACACTAACCCCCCTTTCCAAAACGACTACCCTTTATTGGATTCAAAGGGGCTCCCTCTCCCAAACATTGGCGCATTGGGTCTCGCACGGCTCATCGAATGGCATCCTCGGTGCGAATAGAATGGGAGGCCTCCCCCACTTTCCCAACAGCCACCTGATTTTGAGGGGGGTTTGGGGAGGATGGACAAACCTGCCAACTTTTGGGGG